TCCCTCTTTCCTCAGGGCAAGGGGGGAAACCCCCTCATGCTGCAACCCCCTCTCCACAGGAATTGGTCAGTAATGTTCCCTCCTTAGGGTTTTTGGGTTTGGTTTTTTTTTTAGTTATTCTGGATTTTTTTGCTTTTAGCATCCGCCTGAGTTGGATTCCCTGCAGTAAAACCCAGGGACCTTGCTTCTTGAGAGAGCGTAGCAGAGGGTGATGTGTGTCTGGGGACGCTTTTCTCCACCACTGAGCCTCCAGGCTCTTCCCCAGGCCCTCTCGGGTGGGGATTCGCTGGGCCGACAGGTCTGTTAAAACTAGAAATGAGGAACAGCTGATCCCTCAGCAACCACTGACCCTGCAGCAATGAGGATGGTTAAAATGAGCCCGACCATGGATTTTAGACTCCCAAGCCAGTCCTTTCCCTTTGCTCCTTTGACAAGGAGTGCAGCAGAGTTGCTGCTGCTCCTGTGGCCGGGGACACTGTGGCGAAGGGGGTGTCAATCCATCAGCACTGCCCCGGAGTGGGAAGAGAGCCTGGGAGCCTTGAATCCTGCTGTTGTCTTCAAACTATTTGACCATCCCTGTGCCTGCTGTTTGCAACGTCAACCCCACAAAATGTCACCTGAATCCGCAGCCACCGGCACTCCTTTGAAGCCTGGGTGGGTGTTGATGTGATGCCCAGCCCAGAACAGGTCCAGCTCTGCCTCCCCTCATGTCCCTTCACCTCCTGGTGATTTCTCTGCTTTTGTCTCCTGCAGATGGTGGAACGGAAACTCCTTGTTCTTTTTGGCAGCCAAACTGGGACGGCTCAAGACACAGCTGAGAGAATTGGCAGAGAAGCCAAGCGACGGCACTTCCAGTGCAGAGTGGAGGCGCTGGACAGCTATGACGTGGTGAGTAGTGACATGGGGGTGCTCCAGGCATGTCTGGTCTTGCTCAATCTCCACCAACCCATTTCTGGCACTCGAGCATCCTCCACCCTTGCTGTGACCTGCTGTATTTCACCAGACCCTGGCTCCATGCCCTTCCTGAGGGCAGCTTGTGCTTAACTCAGCTGAAAACTTGTGAAAACTGAGCAATGACTCTTGGGATAGATGACAGATGCTCAGCCATACCTTGCAAGGCGAGGAGCACCAAGGAGCCGATGCTGCAGGCAATGTGTGGGCAGCAGATCCTGTTGCAGTGCCAGTAGAGGAGGTCGTGCCACGCAGGGCTGCAGGTTTTATTCCGAGTGTGGTCTGTCCATGGACTCGATGTAATCTTAGCAGCCATGTCAGGACAGCCAGGACACGTGTTTGTAGGCTGCTGACCTCAATGTGCCTTTCTGCGTTTGTGCCCACAGGCCAACCTCATCAATGAGCTGTTGGTGGTGTTTGTGTGTGCAACCACCGGCCAGGGTGACCCACCTGACAACATGAAGGTAGGATGTGCTCCTGTCCACGTTGCTTTTATATTCCTGGTCCAGTGACTGGATTTCTCTCTTGAAGCAACTTGAGCAATGGTTGGTTTTGGAGTGGGGAGCTTTGGAGCAGCACCAGGCACATCTTTGTGCTACCGATGGGACGCGGGCAGGGAGCCGGTGACGTTTCAGCAGCTGAACAGCTGAGAGGGGCCCTGCCATCGCAAGAGCCATGGGTTTGTGGAGGGCTCACAGAGCATCGTCCTCCTGGTGGGTAGCAGCGGTGGCTGCTTTCAGGGGTCACATCTGCAGAAGACTGTGCTTCCCACTCTGTTGGGACTCAGTGGAGGGCAGGAGGGACCCAGTGGGTGGGTGAGCGGGGAGCTAGGGACAGGTCGTCAGGGAAGGCTTCCTGGGCAGCAGTGTGTTTCCCTGGCGGTGTCCTTCATAGATGTTCTGGCGGTTTCTGTTCCGGAAGAACCTGCCGCCTGGTTCCCTCTGCCAGCTGGACTACGTCGTGCTGGGCCTTGGCGACTCCTCCTATCCCAAGTAAGCAGCTCTGCAGCTCCTTGCCCGCCTGTGACAGCTGCTCCTCACAGCTCTGGCTGCAGGAGAGACCAGAGTGGATGGAGAACTGAGGGGGTAAGGGGAGAGAGAGCCTGACTCTAGAGCAGCAGCTCAGATGAAACATAATTCCCACCAGCTTTAAAAGGCCTTTTCCTACTAGCCCATGTCCCTCCTAACCCCCAGGAACTGGGCTTCTGCCCATTTCTTTCCTCCTGGCCTCCTCAAGCAGCTGCTTTGCTGCAGTGTTTCAGATAGCATTTTTCAGTCAGTTCTCTCTCTGAATTCCAGGAACGCTTGTGCCACCATAATTTTAGTGGACAAGCCAACAGGAGACATGAAACAGAGAGTTTTAGCTGGCAGCCAGGCCCATTGGTCCCAGTTGTCTCCCACAAGGTTGTTCCCATGTGCCTGAAAGAGCTGTAGTGGGAAGGGTGGGAGCGTGCCTGAACTCTGTGGGGCAGTGAGGGGCTAGAGGGAAGGAAGCGTTTCTCTGCCTGGGGCTGAAGCTGCCCTGAAGGGAAGCTGGACCTCCCCAAGTCCGTTTTGGGAAGCTGGGCACAGACTGTGTGGCTCAGCAAGTGGCAGCCAGCTGCTTCTCCAAGCTCCTGCAGGATGGAGGCATGGGCTGGGCAGGGCACGGGGCCAGATCGTGTGTGCTGGCTCTGGCTGGACCTGCCTCTCTGGCTGGCCCACATGGGGGTGCTCCAGGCATGTCTGGTCTTGCTCAATCTCCACCAACCCATTTCTGGCACTCGAGCATCCTCCACCCTTGCTGTGACCTGCTGTATTTCACCAGACCCTGGCTCCATGCCCTTCCTGAGGGCAGCTTGTGCTTAACTCAGCTGAAAACTTGTGAAAACTGAGCAATGACTCTTGGGATAGATGACAGATGCTCAGCCATACCTTGCAAGGCGAGGAGCACCAAGGAGCCGATGCTGCAGGCAATGTGTGGGCAGCAGATCCTGTTGCAGTGCCAGTAGAGGAGGTCGTGCCACGCAGGGCTGCAGGTTTTATTCCGAGTGTGGTCTGTCCATGGACTCGATGTAATCTTAGCAGCCATGTCAGGACAGCCAGGACACGTGTTTGTAGGCTGCTGACCTCAATGTGCCTTTCTGCGTTTGTGCCCACAGGCCAACCTCATCAATGAGCTGTTGGTGGTGTTTGTGTGTGCAACCACCGGCCAGGGTGACCCACCTGACAACATGAAGGTAGGATGTGCTCCTGTCCACGTTGCTTTTATATTCCTGGTCCAGTGACTGGATTTCTCTCTTGAAGCAACTTGAGCAATGGTTGGTTTTGGAGTGGGGAGCTTTGGAGCAGCACCAGGCACATCTTTGTGCTACCGATGGGACGCGGGCAGGGAGCCGGTGACGTTTCAGCAGCTGAACAGCTGAGAGGGGCCCTGCCATCGCAAGAGCCATGGGTTTGTGGAGGGCTCACAGAGCATCGTCCTCCTGGTGGGTAGCAGCGGTGGCTGCTTTCAGGGGTCACATCTGCAGAAGACTGTGCTTCCCACTCTGTTGGGACTCAGTGGAGGGCAGGAGGGACCCAGTGGGTGGGTGAGCGGGGAGCTAGGGACAGGTCGTCAGGGAAGGCTTCCTGGGCAGCAGTGTGTTTCCCTGGCGGTGTCCTTCATAGATGTTCTGGCGGTTTCTGTTTCGGGAGAACCTTCCGCCG